CTGGTACCAATGCGGGGAGAGGGGGGCGAGACCGGGCCGTACCAAGGCGGCAGGCGGGGGGGAGGCGGCGGTCCAGGAGGGCGCTGCAGGAGCAGTAGCGGGGTCCAGCGGAGCCGCGGCGCTGGGGCCGGGTTTGGCAACACAAAGGCCGGCGGGTCTGTCCCCGCGGGAACCTCGGAAAAGGGCAAAATAAACCGAATCCGCCTGCCCCGCTCAGCTCCCGCCGGGGCGCTGGGGGGCGCCACCTCGGCGGGCTGGGCGGACGCGGGGCGCGCGGCCCCTTTAAGAGCACCCCCAAAGATGTCGCACGGGGGTTCATGTGCTCGCTCGACCTAGCTTGCTGGTTCTCCACTGACCTTCGCCACGGGCCCTTCGTGGCTCCTATTGGCTCGCAGTGTTCGAGCGCCGCCGTCTGATTTGTGGCCGGCGGCCTGGTCCCGCCCCGGCTATGCCCAGCAGGGTGCGTTGCGGGCTGGCGGCTAGTTCCTGTAGTAGGCCGCAGCGGGGAAGGGGCCGGGGCGGGCGGGTGCAGCGGGGCGATGGCGGCGGCGGCGTAGAGCGGAGCCGGGCGGAGCAGCAGGACCACCATGATCATAGAGAACGTGGACGCTCTCAAGTCGTGGCTGGCCAAGTTGCTGGAGCCGATGTGGGGCCCGGCCGCCGGCTCTGCGAGCGCCCGCTGCGGTTACGGGAGGCTCCGGTTGAAAGGCTCAGGCCCAGGGCCGGGGGTTACCGCCGCCCGGCGCGCTGACCCGGGCCTGTTGTCCCAAAACCTGCCCACCGGCCTCGGGCCACCTCCGCCCCGGAGAAGCCCGGCTGCCCGTCCTCCGAGCGCCGTCTGTAAGGGCGGGTGCGGGCAGCCCCGCACGCAGAGCCCAGAGCCGGTGGGCGAGGGTCGGCGGAACGGGCGGCGGTGCCCGCGGGAGGCTGCCGGGGCTCGGTGAAGCCTCGGCGGAGGGGCTGGGAGCAGGGGCTGCTGTGGGCTCCTGTGTGAGGAAAGCGGCCGTGTCTGTGGAAAGGCCCCGCCGCGCTGGGGTGCCCGTGCCCCGGGTCCGGCCGGGAGGGGGGTTTGGCTGGAGCAGGGTCTCTGAAAGGACACAGGGGTCTCTGAAAGGACACACTTGTCAGTGACGGGCTCCCCACAGAGAACAGCTACGACCCCTTCGAAGTTGCAGGATGTACAGCTGCAATCTGGATTAACTGATATTTCTACAGATATTTTTCTGTCTTTGTATTGTGAATAGGCCCTAGAACTAGTCAGTTGTAGTAGCAGGCTTTTTGGAGGGTCTCCCTGGCACTCGGTGGGATCCCTCTGTCACTCTGTCTGGTGGGGAGCGTGTCTCTCGCTTCCAACCCACCCTCTGCCTGGCCACCAGCATCCCCTCGGGATCCACGCTGCCCTGTGGGGACAGGACTTGGAGAGGAGGGCTCAGGGCAGGCAGTCGTAGAATTTGCTGGTGGGTCCAGACAGTGGAGGGTTCAGGAGTGGAAATACAAATTGGTTTACCTGGAGAGCTGGATGCACCTCACCCCCGCTCCCGTAATGTAATGCCCAAGAGAAACAAGTGTCTGGAGGAAGGAACGGAAATGGTTACAAAGTGATGGATCATCTCCTTTATTTTAAGTTGAAGGTTTATAGTCAGTTGCATGTGGGCACTAGCACTGAATACATCACATTTTGTGTTTGTGTAAGAATTGTAAAATCTGTAAATTTGTGGTTTCTTTGTTGTTAATTGCTACATTTAACGTGGCTTTCATTGAAGGTTGGAAACAGCAAGCCAATTAATTTGATGTAGAGCTGCTTGACTGGCTGCTCCTTGAGAATTTCTGTTTTCTCTACCCAGTTGTCACCTGCTTGGCTTTTTGTGTTTTGTTTGGTTGGGTTTTGGATTTTTTTTTTTTTTTTTTACTTGCAATTATTTGGAGGTCTGTATACTTTATGCTATTGCCTTGTGTTTCTATAGTTAATGTTTTAGGAAATACACAATCCCCTCTCTGAATGTTAAACTTTAAAAAAAAATAAATCTTTGAATCATCAAACATTTAGATTCCTACCTACCGTCTGATAACTTGCATCTGCATTTTTTTAGAGAGGCAAAATGAGGAGTTATTGCTTAATCATTTAACACTGTTAATCTAGTTGATACTTTCAGTGTTTTTCCAGTAGCTGAATAATGGAATCTAAAGCCATTTCCAGTTTAACGATTAGTGACAGTATTGCTGCATGAAGTTGGGTATCTGTGGCCTTTGTGAAGCCAGATAAGGGCCTAGGTAGTGCGGACAGTGGGTCTCTATTCATAACTGCACCCCTTCAGGCGTTTTACCGGTATTAAAGGGTTGTTGTAAAGTTTGCAGACATGGCAATGGTCTTTGGGGAAGGAAAACCCCAGTGCGTTGGGCACAGTAACTTAAACTGTACAGAACGTAGCTGTGTGCATATTTAAAATGAGTTTTTGTGATATATTTCTGAGCTGCTTTTCACAATAATAATGTTTTAATACTTTAAACCCACTTTAATACTTTGCAATAACTGCCCAGTGACTTGTACTCACTCTGCTACTCTGGCAGACTCGGGCTTGGTGGCAGTTGCTGTGCTTAGAGAAAGTTAGGAAGCGATGGCATCTGCTTGCTTGCCCCAGAAGTGGGTCTTTCCGTAAAAAAGGAGGAGGGTGCTTCTTCCCAAGCAAAGCTGAGAAAGGACCGAAAGCGTGGGAAGGCTGTCAGGTGGGAGGGGGGCACAAGGCAACTGCAATAATGTGCTGTAACTGAAAGCTGACTGTGCGGGCTCAGTCCTGCTGGCACGGCTGCACCGGTGTCAGAAAAGCTTCCCCCGTGTCACCAGGTCTCCTTTGGTGGCTCTTCTGGGACAGTGGCAGGGTTTGGGCATATGCCAGCAGAGCCAAGAGCGCTTCTTTCTCTCACTAGATGCGACGCAGACCCCTCAGCCTTAGCCAACTATGTCGTGGCGTTAGTCAAGAAAGACAAGCCAGAGAAGGAGCTGAAAGCTTTCTGTGCCGACCAGCTGGATGTCTTTCTGCAAAAAGGTACCGTGCCTTCTACCGCTTCCTCCCTTTGGGGGCTTCCATTTCACTGGGGGGAGGAGAAAGGGAGATGCACCATTGTTGCTTTCAGAATACTTCTTGTTATCCCTGAATTGAATATTTCTTACGGAGTGGGAAGAAGTAAAGATCTTGTGATTAAAATTTAAAAAAAACCCAAAATCTTATGAAGTTGTGTAGCTTGGTCTTGTTTATGGTGGGTGGGAGGAAATTCTCTGAAATAAGAGTTAGTAATTTCATTTTAAAGTATCGGTCATGCTGGCAGAAGTTTCTCCGGCAGATGTTTGATAACTTTTGACAACCTGCTCCGTATTAATCTGTCAGGCTTCTGTGAGCTTCTCATTGAATCTGAATGAAATTGCAAGATTTTAAACACTTGAAATTCTGACACTCACTGGGGAAGTTACTGTGTATTTTTTTGTGATCTGATATTAAACTGATGATTAGTCTTCTCTGAATGATGTACTCTCATAAAGTTGCGGTAAAGAGGCTGCTGACAGCAGCTCATGGAGGGACTGTGGACTTACTCCTTCATCATGAGTTTGCCCCTTAGAACATTTCAAAGCTGTAAATGTGATTGCAGGGAATGCCTCTGTTGCTGTCTTTGATGTACCTGGTGAATTTCTTTGTCTAAACAAACAACGTCAAGTTCCACAAATGTAATTCCAGCTCCTTAAATGGAGCTAATGCTCATTAGTCAAAGCTGCTGCTGTGAGCAGTCCACCTGGATGACTTTTTTCAGGGACTCTTCTGGTAAATCTGACCGTGCCCTTAAATCACTACGTAACTATGTTTTCTTGTGTTCTGTATCCACAGAAACTTCAGGTTTTGTAGATAAACTTTTCGAAAGTCTGTACACAAAAAGTTATCTTCCTTCTCTTGAACCCCCGAAAGTAGAAGCGAAGCCTGCAGGTCAGGAAAAAGAAGAAGTCAAGGAGGAGGTAATATTGGGTTTTTTTCTACCTACCTGCCTCTGGTTTTCAAATTAGCCATCCTGTACATTGATGAGACAAGATGTGAGAGAAAAATCCACTTTATTGTGACTAATGATCTTTATGATCTCTGTGCACCTGAAGAAAAAGGGAGGATGACCAGATGACCATTCAGAGAAGAACGTTTTAAAATCCCTCTGTAGAGTCTCCCTTTGATCTAGATGAACAGCATTCAGAAATCCTATCCTCCCTGGCAGTAGGAGCTGATAATGATTTGGAGAGGCTTAAGAGAGGGGGAAGAAGTAAAAATATTCCAAAACATTTCCTTTCCAATTGTGTGTATTGTGGGAGGAACAGAAATTATTTTAAATGTTTTCTGTAATACTTGAAATCAGTGAAATGTGGTGGCTTCTATATTGAGGGATAATTGCCTTTAGAAGTGAGGTAGCATCCATTTGCCAACAGTTCTTTCTTTTATCTTGTTTGTAAGTTTTATTGACAGAACTTAAAACAATAGAGTTTCTGAGAAAAATGAAGTAGTATTTCCATAGTTGTCTAAATTTCTTTGTATATTGTATAATCCTGTGCTCCCACTTGTCTAAAATAGATGCTTTTTTCTTCTAAGTTGGTGATTTTCCAAGGGAAGAGGCCTCTTCTTTGTGTTTGTAGCATCCTAATGTACCTGCTTGGGGAGAGAGTTGGGAAAAAATTGCTATAGAAGTAAATGTTCTTTATTTCCATATGCTCTCATCACAGTTTGCAAAGATACTGTAGGCTGATTATGTGGTTTAATTACTGTAGGAAAGATGCAAGTAATGTCAGAGAGTATACGTGAAGTTGTCGTCCCTCCCTGTACTCCAGGGGTGCTGCTGTCCTGCAGGGTTAGGGGCTGCTGCCTTTATAAATGGACCCTAGGGAGCGTTTTTTCTGGCAAGTGCTCTAAATGAGTATCCAGTTTTGTGCTTTTATCTGTGAGCCTAAAATACTGTGAAGGAAAGACCTCGCTGGAGTTGGCTGTTCTGTCCTCAGAGCTAAAGCTGGCTGGGGGGCCATGTGAACAGTTTTTGCTTTAAATCATTTATTTCGAAGTGTGAACTAGTGACGTATCTACTTGGAGAAGTAACTGTCTTTAGCTGTGTTCCAGCTACAAGATGTAGAAAATACCTCATTGGTAGAATCACTTACTGTAATGAACGAGAGAGAGAACTTGTCTTGAATCCTGTTTACAAACAAAATATCAGAGTAGTTTTGTTTTGGGGCATCTCCTCTGCAGAAAAACCTGGAAGATTTGAAACAACCTCTGGTACTTGGTTAATTGTAGTGCCTAAGTGTTCTGGGCAAGTAATACTTAAATATAGTCAGCATCCCATATAAAAACAGTAACTTGAGCTAAATCTTGGTCTTATTTTCTTCATTTTAATAAATAAATATTGATACTCATCCTTGATTGGTAGCTGCCCCTGAAACAGAATTTTCAAGAGTCAGTTGAAGAAGAGCGGGAGAGCAGGAAGAAGAAGTATTCCAGCCCACAGAGAAGCCGTGGAGATTCCAGCGAACAAAGGTTAGTTTTGAGCCAAAATATATTACTATATTCTTCTGTATTTGCTGGCAATCTTTAACTGTGGATTTTTACCTCCTAGGTAGTTTTTTCTTAAAAACAGTGATTTCCTCCTTACTTTTCTGTGTTTGCGATGTGTTATCTGTGTGTTGGTTGTGTATGTGAGAGCCCTTCACTAGAAGTTGGTCACTTCCAAAAAATGACAGTATTTTTCAAATGTTAATACCCAGGAATGTCATCAATTCCAGTTTTTCCCTGGCTGTATGTATGAAAAGCACTGAGGGGTGGCCTTCAGGGGCTGATGGAATTTTTTTCACACAGTGTCAACATGACTTTTAAAACATGTTCTGTTCCAGTCATCTAACTTGGTCACTTTTCCAACTCTTAGTCTTCCCCTCGCTGGTTTCTATGAGTTAGTGCTTCAGCTTTGAGATTCTGCACTTTTCTATGTAGTTTGGGAAATTGACTCAAATGTTTTGCTGTCCAGATTGGATGGGAAGGATGAGCAGTGTCTTGTTACAAGCTTGTTTTGTAATTTGGTTTCCCTTTTCATAAACATGATCCACTCTTTTTATGATTTTTTTTTTTTTTTTTTCCCTAAACCCCCGGGGAAAAAAGGGTTTCCCTTTTCATAAACATGATCCACTCTTTTTATGATTTTTTTTTTTTTTTTCCCCTAGAACCCGAGAGAAGAAGAGAGATGATGGGAAGTGGAGGGACTATGACAGGTACTACGACAGGAGCGACTTGTACAGGGAGAAATCCAGCTGGCGGCGTGGCAGGAGTAAGAGCCGCAGTAAGAGCAGGGGGCTGAGCCGCAGCCGCAGCCGCAGCCGGGGCAGGAGCAAAGACCGGGAGGCAGCCAGGAGCGCGGGTGAGTGCCCCGGGGGCTGCTGCAGGGGGAGGGCTCCTCACCCTCTGCCAGGCTGGAGGTGTCCTTGTGGAGCTCCAGCACATTTTGAGAACTTTGTCTTCCTGAAATTATTAATTAAGATGCTGTTTTTCAGAGTAGAATAATTAAAGGGATTGTTTTCTTCTTTGCTAACCTCTTAATTTATCCACAGGTGAATACCGGTGGATATTGGTCGCTGGTATTTTTGTGCTGGGTGTGTTGACAAAAGCTGCTGATTTATTTGTTGGGTTTTTTTTTCAAAAGATCTGTCTTTTTGCAAAATAGTGCTACCCTCTTTTTCACTTTGTTACTGTGTATTTTTAGAGAAGGTTTCTTTGTAATTGAAGGTGGTTACCATGTGGCTCTTCTAGGGCTAATTGAGGTCAGTTGGAAAAATAAGAGGTACAGGTTCCAGTGGATTTCAACTCATGTTGAGACCCTGATAGATAAGGGCAGGGTGTAGGTTTGTTGTTTCAGGCTTTTCCTCCTGTTCTTTCTGCTTTAAAAAAAAAAGCTGTAATCCAGAATGGAACAAGGAATAGAGGAATGATTTCATGAAGTTAAAAACCTGTTTACATTATGTTTAGTTCTTATTCCATTGGTAAGACTAAGCTCCTTCAAGAACAGTTTAATATGCAAAATACTGGTATTTCGGGAAACACTTATAGCTATGTAGTATCTTTTTTCAAGGCTCTGATATACAGAATAAAGCATGAAGAGTTTATCTAACTTTTTTCTTTTTTTAAACAGAGCACCGAGAGAGATCAAAATTCAAGAGTGAAAGAAATGATGTTGAAGGCTCGTATAACCCGGTTTCTGCGTCTCCCAATAAATCTACCGAACAGTATTCCTCTGCCCAGTCTATTCCCAGTGCTGTCACTGTAATTGCACCTGCACACCATCTGGAGAACACAACAGAGAGCTGGTCAAATTTCTACAACAATCACAGCAATCCCGGTTCGTTTGGCAGAAACCCTCCTCCAAAACGAAGGTGTCGGGATTACGATGGTAAAGTGTCTGTTTCTTAGTTCTCAGTTTCATACTTTGTTTCAATTACTCTGTGACATCTTTTTAGGTATTTACTAAATGTAGGCAGCAAGCCAAAATGCAGCAGCATGTGGATTAAACCTTGTATGTAAAAGGTATTAAAAATATAAAACTGTATGTGGTTTATATTTTAATGGTTTAAAATATGACCTTTGTTTTACTGGGGAACTAACTAGACTTACTGGAAGCAGTTTCCTTATAATCTGAGAGTTACTGGATAAGAGCATAGGAGGTTTGTTCACAATTCTGTATATGTTTGGCAAATATTTGAAGTACTGACAGTTGTGATAAAGATTGCAATATATGTGTTTAACATAAAACAAGTGGTACTTCTGAGTTTTCTTTCCACAGCTGTTATGATGGGTGCATGTATGGTTTTGTGTGCTTTTAGGGAAGATTATTCTAATTTGAATCATTTTGAAACGTCATCTGATAATGTGTTGTTGGGTCAGTGATTGCATGTTTTCTTTAGCAAGAAATTCCAGCAAGAACTGAGATGCTACATATCGCTGACCACAAATTTTTATTTTATTTTTTTTCTAAAACGATTAATTGTTTTGTTTTGCAGAGCGAGGATTCTGTGTGCTTGGTGATCTTTGCCAGTTCGATCATGGAAATGATCCCTTAGTAGTAGACGAAGTCTCCTTGCCAAGTATGATTCCTTTTCCTCCGCCGCCGCCGGGCATCCCCCCCCCTCCCGGCATGCTGCTGCCCCCTCTGCCGGCCCCGGCCCGCAACCTGAGGCTGCCGGTCCCACAGGCTCATCCGCAGGCACCCCCTCCCGTTGTGCTGCCCATCCCAAGTGAGTCAGAACGTCGTGCTCGGGTTCCTTATGGCACCAAGTTAAAATGATGGCTCATTCTGGAAGACCTGGGTGTGTTCACAGGAATGAGTTCAGGTTCCTCTACTAGCCATGAGCTACTCCAAACATTGCCAAAATAATTCGGAAGAATCCGCTTGTAAGATAGGCCCTTGCCAGCACTCCAAAGGGAATGAGGTGAACTGGGCAGGGCAGCGGATTATTCCATGACCCTGCTGGTGTTTGGATTGATTGCTGACAATTGGATTGCTACCTTTTTTTCCCTAATGCAGTAATGTTGAGATTTAATCTCCTGAAACTTCTATAAATTCCTGTAATGTGCTATATTATGTGTTGCTTTTTAGTAGTAGATAAACAGATCTTAGATGTATCAATTCAGCAAAACAGTGATCTCTGAGACTGTTTAGCCCTTTTTTTTTTTATCTTACTGCATCTTGTCATGTAAATTCTGTGAAGAAGCAGAATATTAGCTCTGTGGTTACTCTGTTCTGTACTCTCTATTCCAGTAATGCAGGACATGCTGTGATAGTTGTATCAAATGACAAGAAATTACTTTATATAGGATTAATCCTTAAGTTTTGCATGAGCATTTTAGTGAGTGGAGTTGGCTGGCTACGGGGTCCTTGTAGCTGTGTCCTGGTGGGTTGTGTGGTGCAACTCATGGTCCTTTTCTGGCCACCTAGTAAGAAGGAACATATGTATCGTATATAGTGCAAACAAAGCAGAAACAGCTACACAAATTCTGTGTCTGTGGATGCCTTTTGCCCTATAGTTCTTGGTTTAGAACTGTAATCTAAATGTTGTTGATGTGGTCTCTTGCTCTGAGCAAGCGTTGATTCTCTGTGGCAGAGCTGAAGGAGCTGTTTTAGCTAATGCAAGCTCTAACAATAATAAACCTCTGGGGAAGAAAAGACACTTTTTTCTTTTTTTTTCTTAAAGCTTTGTCCTTTCTGGAAAAGAGAAGAGGTGCTGGAATGAGAGTACCTTACCTGAGCAGGACTTCTCTACTAGGTTTGCAAATATTTACAATCTCGACCTCGCTCAAAGCAAGACATAAACAAATTGCATTGAATTGTTTGCACGTTTTATCTGTGGTGTTATAAGTCTTAGTGATCTGTTCTGTGGTGTCATTGTAGGACCACCGTTAACGCAGTCAAGTTTGATAAATAATCGTGACCAGCCTGGGACAAGTGCAGTGCCCAGTCTTGCACCCGTAGGAGCAAGGCTACCTCCTCCCTTACCCCAGAACCTGCTCTACACAGTATCCGAACGTAAGCACATTCCTTTTTTTACAATCTGCTTGAGATATAAATTTTAAAATTCCTCTGATGTGTGCTAAGAAATTGTTACCTCTGTCTTCCTCCAGTACGTACAAATCTAAAAAGAAGTCTGAGCACTCCCTGGTCAGTGCCTGGCCTGCTCTCGCTGGGTCAGTCACAGCTCTGTCCCTGCTGAGCACGGAGCAGTGGAGCTTCCTTTGGGCTTCCTGTGCTCACAGCAATAGGATTGTGTAGGAAAGGGATCCTTTCATCTTCAGGCTGTTTAGCAGAAGATCAGTAGGCAAAGATGGATCTGCAAACCTGTAATTGGTCTTTGACTCAGTCTTTATTCCCATCCAGTTTTGGCTACTACAGATGAGAGAGATTTTTTATTTTTTTTCAGTCTCTGTATCACAATAATCTCTACGGTCTTCACATACGTTAGTATATACATTAGTACTTTCTTTCTATCTTTTTTTCCAGAATCAACTTAGTTCTAGCTTTCAAACTTAAAAAAAAAAAAAAAAGATGGCTTTCAATGGACATGTTCATCTTCCTTAACAGAGCTCAGATTTTTTAAAAAGTGGGGTTTTATGAGGGGAAATAGCAAAATACCTGGAGAGCTCTAGATTGCTCTATTTGAATCCAACAAATCTTATATGTCTTTGACAATGAAAGGAGTAATGGCATTTGCCATTACTGGCATGTTTTGCTTGAGCAAAATAAGATAATTGAATCTGTGTTTTATGCTATTCCTGCCTGGGTTTTTCTATATAAATATTCTGAATTTTATTCAAAGGAGGGCTCTAGGTCACTTCCATGTCACTTCCTTTGACTTCCACACTTTTCAGAGCTTCAGTCACTCAAGTACCTTGTTAGATAATCGGTCGGTCGGCTCCAAATCAGTCGGGCGTTCGGTGTTCCCATCTGCTGCTTTCAGCACCAGGCCTTCCCACGGGTGGTTCTGTCTCTCTGAGCTCGTGGGGCACCACTTGCCTTCACTCACACCGCGTAATTCTCTTCCCCTCAACATCTGTGCAGGTTCCCACCTCCTGCTCCCAGGCTATTCCGGTACGACGGCTGGTTGCCCTCTCGCACCAGTCGTGTGCCAAAGCCTGGAGAAGGCTCTGGTGGTTCAGCTCACGCACGGTCAATGGAAGTTCTCAACAGAGTCTGAAACTAAACTCAACCATCAGTGTAGAAATTCTGGGGCACCTTTTTTAAATTGTAGAGTCTTTGTTGTTGCTGTGGAATGAGGAGCTGACATACAGAGGGCTTCAGGTCTGTCCAGTCCCCTGTCTAGGAGTTCATTTCTGTTCCAGGGTGCACTGGAACAGAAGTGCACCTGGTTCTGTAGAGGCTTCTCAAAGGCTTTGTTCATTCTAGTTCTTGTATAGTTTTTCCTTTTTATTGGCTGGAAAAAGGCATCGTCCTTGATTTGGGCCTTGAGCTGGAGGAACAATGTCAGTCAATTCTGTCATCTCATGATCACCCCTTTTAATGAAAATAATCCTGAATACCTTACTGGAGCTGGGCAGCTGATCTCTCTCCTACATAGATCAAAGAGAATTTAATAGGTAAGTATTGGTCAAATTACCTGATTTCTCAGATTTCTTTGATTGGAATCATTTAAGTACGTTCTTCCCCAAAAATCCTTTCCTGAAGTAAACTTAGACAGTTGGGCAGAAAAGACTGAAAACCTCTTTGCATCTTAGGCCCTACAGGACAAATGCTCAAACTAAATCTTTTGTTGCTCCCCTTGAAACACTGTCAGATGTCATGAAGGTTGTCACACGGACACCTCCCTGCTTTCTCAGGCAGCTTGTCAGCAGTACTCAGTTATTGTGACTTTTGTGCTTTTCACAAACAGTAACAATCAAAGTAAAAATAAAAATTTAAAAAAAAAAAAAAAATGCCCAAATAGCTGTGGGCATAAAGTTCAGTTGAGGGTTTTAAATGGTTCCACACATTTGCTGTACGACCTCTTTTCTCTCTTCTCTTCATCCAAAACAACTTCTGACTCTTGGACATCCATGCGTTTCCTTAAAGGAAAATTAACCCTGAGTCTTAAACTCATTTGAAAAATTCTTTCATTTCTCTCCTTTTTTTATAGATACATATGAGCCAGATGGCTATAACCCCGAAGCTCCTAGTATTACCAGTGCTGGTAGATCTCAGTATCGACAGTTCTTTACAAGAGCACAAACGCAGCGTCCAAATCTAATTGGCCTAACATCTGGGGAGATGGATACAAATCCAAGAGGTAGGAAGGGTTTCTAGTCATTGCTGTTGCTATTTTTGTCCAAGACCGCCAACACTTATTTTCCGCTTTTTCAGGCTAGAAGCGGCAGTTTTTCTCACTGATCTAGTATTTCAGAGCAATTTTGCGACATCTCTACCTTTTTAAAATGCTAATATGACCATATTAAAGTCAAAGCAGCCTTGTTGATTAAAAATAACCACTTGCTTTGGAATGCTACAAGTGCTTTTGTGTTGATTGGTTGAGTTTTTGTTCCTCTTCAGCCTGTGAAGGCTCTTTCTGGGTGTTGGGTGCTTCTAGAAAGACACTAAACGAGGACAATGGCCCACGAAATCCCAGTCTGCATTTGAGTAACTCTGAACCTGTAACTGGACAGACGTGGATGGAGTCTCAGTGGGGACACATAGGAGATCTCTTTTAGGGGAGAGAACTAAGGGATCTTTTAAGACATTTTTGTTCTGTTAGTGTAACTTTCCTTTTCCCTCCTGCTTTTCCCACCTTGATCTTTAAAAATTGTTAAATTTCAGTGTTTACTGTTACACTCAATGTTTCTTACTCAGCAGATAAGAAAAAGTGGGATTTTTTTTCAGTATTTCCTTCCAGTGACTCATCCTATAAAGAATGTGTTTAAATATTGCAGAAATTGGTGTTACTGTTTTCATCTTAATGAACGTCATAAAGGCAGGGTTGGGGCATTTTGCTGGCCCTGGGATTCTCTCTAAGAGCCCATTCTGCTGTAAGGCGTGGGTGAGTGTTCAGCAGAGGTGCTCCACACCACTGTTTCACAGTCTTCATCAGGAGCATGAAAGGCTTATTGCTCTAAAACCATCTGCCAAAGTACCAATGAAGCTGTTTGCCCCAAAATGCCCAGTCTTCGTTCTCACCAGTGTAACCAGCAGAGCTCTGGCCTCTATAAAAGCCATAGAAAATTCACTTGTGACTCAGACTTCTTTTTAGGAGTTGACGGTTTGCCCTACGCAGGAGACTAAAGCAATAGTGTAATCTTTAAAAGGTTGCAAGCAAATACTTTGCAAATTGTGTCCTAGTGTTTCAGTTTTGTGTTTGTAGAAATTGCTTCAAACCTTAAAACTAATGTCTCTGGGTATAATTTCATGCTATAGTTGTGCTTAATGAACAGTTTGTTGCTGACAACTGGCTGGAGAGATGACAAGGGGACAGAACGGGGAGGAACGGGTTCTTGGTTGATTTTCCACTGCCCAGGGTTAACACGGGAAAGTTGGTTGTGCATTCAGCCCCTACCACCTTCTGCCCACCCTTCTTTCCTTTCGTCCTCAGCATTTTTGTGGGTGTTTTTCCCTGCAGAATCTGAATTTTCAGTACCTCAAAGATGACGTTTTACCTTTGTTTCTTCAAGCTAATGCTAATCTTAAAGGTCAAAATCTCATCCCTGCTGGCTGGACTAAGTGTTTGTTTTCCTCAAATTGTTCAGTTAGGCAAGAAAGTGACCTCTGAAGTAACTTCATAAACAAAACTGACCAACTCAATAAGTATTCCTAATTTTTATGTTTTTAAAATCCATCCTGTTTTGCTGTTTTAAGTGAAAGCTTTTCCAATGTCTTGGTTGATGTGTGGTAAATAACACAGGCCTTTTTCTTTTCCTCCAGCTGCCAATATCATCATCCAGACCGAGCCTCCCATTCCCATTACAAATAACAGCAACGTGACCAGAGTTGTCCTGGAACCAGACAGTAGGAAAAGGTCTCCCAGTAGCATGGAATGCCCACCGTTAAAGAAACCCTGGCTGGGAAAGTAAGAATTAACTACTGCTGAGGAAATGGAATGCACTTCATTGCTATCAGTGCTGGGAATGTAGCCATTCGCTGGTCCTCCTAATGGAGACTAAATACTTGGTGGTGGGAGGAGGTTTTTTTTGTTAATTTTGAGAATGTATACTTTTTATGAGAAACACAAAAGTTAAACGTGCACTAATGTTTGCAGCCACCTGTGTGTGCCTGTCTAAATCACTGCTTTGCTCTCATTTTCTCTAGGCAAGCAAATAACAACCAGACTAAGCCAGGATTTTTGAAGAAGAATCAGTATACTAATACAAAATTAGAAGTTCGAAAAATTCCTTCAGAATTGAACAATATTACTCAACTCAACGAACATTTCAGCAAATTTGGAACTATTGTAAACATTCAGGTAAAAAACAAAGTTCAGGTTTATGCCTGTATGTGGGTATTTGATTTTCCCTGATGCCTTCTTGAATATTGCAGCTGAACTACGTTCCTTGAGAAATCTTAAGGGAGGTTAATGGGGAGAGTAGGTTACCAAGTCCAAAGAACCCTTTTTTTGCCCCGCTCAATTGTATTATTATCTTGATTCTGTAAAAGTATGTTGGTTTCTGCGTTCATGAGGTCTTGAATTTGAAAGGCTTCCAGGTTGAACAGTGTCTAAACCAGCTCAGGTTTTTGAGCAACTTGCATGTAATTTTTGAAAGAGATCTAACAATTTCTGTCTTATACGATAGTCCTACAGTATTTCATAGCCAGGATTTTGATAAAGATGCCACAGGAGAGTCTGTGTATGCATCAGTTTATTACCACTTTGCACCCTAGAACTGGCACCAGTTCAGTGGTGTTCCTTGCACCATAAGAAGGGGAAAAGCACTATATAAGCAAAACACAGGTAGTTACATGGTTAAAATAGCATTTAATTTCGATGTATTTTTCAAGACAAAAGAGGTGCTTCTTAAGCCCTCGGTTAGACATCTAACTAAAAGACAGATTGCTGGGAAGCAGCTGTATTTTTTGAGTTGATAATTTTACGTCTTAGCCCAAAGGATACCATGGTGCTTTCTGCACCTTGATAATGAAATAATGCATTTAAAGATGGTTTTATTCCTGTGATCAATTTTTAGAGAAAAATAGTCTTATTCAAGAATGTTAAAATTGCTTCTTTGAGAGTGTGGAGAACCTTTACATTGCCCATCCTTGGACAGCAGTCTCCTGCGGCATCAGCACTGGGGTCTCCTCAGCAATACCCCCAGGGCAGTTCACATGCTCTGAACATGGGATGCTATTTGTTGGAAGAGGGGGTTTTTGGTTGGTTTTTTTTTCCTTTTAACTTTTATTTTATTTTACTGTATATAGGCTCTGCTGTAAGTATGTGTAATACTTGCCAAAAGGTGTTTGCACTTAATTACATAGAATGTTTTACCTTTATTTTGAGATGCTAATATCATGGCATATCCCACTCAATAATGCAGGCTATTTGTAGATTGGTTTTCTTCCTTAGAAATAATGCTTTCTGATGACCTTTTGGTTTAGGTTGCTTTCCAGAACGATCCCGAAGCTGCTCTAATCCAGTACTTGACTAACGACGAGGCGAGGAAGGCCATCTCCAGCACGGAGGCAGTTCTGAACAACCGGTTCATCCGGGTGCTGTGGCACCGGGAGGGCGAGCAGCAGCCCCCGCCGCAGCCGCCGCAGCCCGCCCCGCAGACCCTGCACCACCAGCTGCACCTCCAGCAGCAGGCCCTGGCCACCTCCCCTGCCGTCACCATGCACAGCAGCCTCTCAAAGGTACGGGGAAGGCGGTGGGTGTTTCTGAGTGACCACTGCTGTGAAAAAGCAGAGTGTATAATCTTGCAGTTTTTAACATCTGTTGATGCGTGCCCAGGTGATGAATAAACCACCAGCCTCTGGTGCCTATGTCCTTAACAAAGTCCCAGTGAAACGCCGCCTTGGAGCAGCGGGTGGAAACCAGCCTGATCTGAGCCAGTCTGGAGCTGCGGTCGAGGATTCCCAGGTATGAAGATGGTCAGCCTTCATCAACATACGTTCTGTTAAAGCCTCGGCCCAGGTGGTTATGTTCCTCCTCACTAACACTCCGTGCAGCCTTGGTCAGTCACTTCCTGGTTCCATTGGCTGTTCATGTAAAACAGGGACAGTGACTTCAGAAACAAAGGATGAGGATTTCAAGTAGCATAAAATATTTTTGGGTTGTTTCATAGTAAACAAATTTGACAGCCTGTATGTGATGGCAGCTTTATGTTGGCGAATCTAATTGTTTTCCCGTTGATCTTTGAGCTGATGTTGTGCTTTAAGGCCAGAAGCTTGCAGAATACTTCTGCATAGGGTTCAAGCTGATAAAGTTTAATTCACACTGATACCATTGTGCAGCGTGTGTTCTTGGCCAGGGAGAACTCCTTCTTTTGAGACAGGAAGTCTGCAGGGGACTTGTGCTGCCACGTTTGATCAGACAGTGTGACGTTAGGCTGTGGCTGCAAAGCAGAATGTAACACAGATCAGCTTCAGTAGTCTCCACAGTGGATATAAGGATACAGGGAATTCTGGATGAAGAGTCTTTTGCAGAAATCCTTATAACATGAGTTTGAACTGAGCATTTGCTTCCGAGCAAGGTGACTGTTAGACCGGTGCCTCTATACGTGTGGTTTCATTGCCTTGGCCTTTGGTTTCGTTGCACAAATCCTGAAGTTTGTGTTGGTGTTTCAGAGAATACCTTCCTCTAACACTTGGTAATGGTATATCGCTTTCGATTTCAGTTATTAGATATTTGTGTGTGTGTGGTTTTGCTATTTCAGACATTTTCTACACCTACAAGCCACTCAAAAATGGTTTACAGTTCTTCAAACCTAAAGACATCGATGAAGCCTGGTGCAGGGTCTAAACCGCATGATGTGCAAGAAGCCCTTAAAAAAAAACAGGTACTTTGCTATTCATTGGCCAACTGACAGTGTATGATCAAAGTGCCTTATGAAGAAGGTTTGATAGGCACCTTCAGCCTCAAATATTGCTGTATGGCTTTCTGCATGGGGGGGTGGTGTTGTCTGACTGTCTTGCAAACGCAGCCTGAGGTCAATGGTGGGGACGGGAGTGTTCCTTTTGGGGTGTCTTTTGTGACACATTTGGTCATGGGGGTTTCCTGGGTTTTCTTGAGGCATTTCTCTGGTTTTAATCTCTGCAGGTATGAGACACTTACATGGCATGATAGGATATCTTTCTTAATAGGTGTCCAAGAGGGACAAAAATTTAGTATAAATCTAATATAGTCCTTCACAGCAGCAAGTTAGCAACTCTTCATTGGTTTTTTTCTGGATCCGATACACTTCTCACTTGTGCATTTTGCAGACTGTTAGTTTTTGTGACAGCCTTCACTTCTGTAGCTTGAAGGAGAAAACATGATGTCAATGAGTACATGTGATGCCAGACTGCTTTTTACTGATTAAAAGAATTTTCTTCTCGTATAGGAGGCGATGAAACTGCAACAAGACATGAGGAAAAAGAAGCAGGAGATGTTAGAAAAACAAATAGAATGTCAGAAGGTAAAAATGGAATGTCATCTTCTGAAATCCAACCTGTCTGTTCAGTGTTGTTTTTACCTGGAATTTTATATTCCTGCTCTTTTATTAATACACAGATGTTGATATCCAAGCTGGAGAAAAATAAGACCATGAAACCAGAAGAAAGAGCAGAAATAATGAAGACCTTAAAAGAACTAGCAGGAAAAATATCTCAGTTAAAGGATGAATTGAAAACTTCATCTGCAAGCTCTACACCATCAAAGTTAAAGTCCAAGACAGAGGTATTTATTGCGCAGGACACTTGCCTGCCTCTCTCTTGTAACTATGTCTAATGCAATGGCCTAAAAATGCAGCAGCATTAGATGAAAGTGCTTCCAAGCAGTATTTTGAATTTGAGAACGATAACCCTGGCCAAGCAAGCTGTGGTTCAGAGGAACTCGGGTGACTTCGTTCAAATGGAGCTCAACTGGCTCCATTCAGGCTTGTTCCAGTTATAAAGCAGGGAATTCTGGGTCCCCCAAAAAATGGGTTTGGGGAGGGGCATGGAGAAAATTAAAATAAACTGAATTTAGAGGAAAGTATGGATATTGTGTACTGATCTGTCTGTATCATAAATGTATTGCTGAAGAAGTGCAATGAAGCAGTAAAACACATTACAGTTCTGCCTTTCCCTTCCATTTCCTCTTTGTGCACCTCTTCCTTTAAGGCACAAAAGGAACTCTTGGATGCAGAACTGGACTTCCACAAGAGACTCTCTTCTGGAGAAGACACAACTGAATTGCGAAAAAAGCTAAATCAGTTACAAGTAGAGGTGAGTTTGTCTGCATTGATGCTTTTACTGTATTTGTGCTATATAAAGGTTTGAAATCCTTTCAGACTGAGGACGGCTGTGTCTGTCTTTCCCCCCGAGCAGGCTGCCCGGTTAGGAATCCTGCCCGCTGGGCGCGGGAAGACGTCGCCAGCCCAGGGAAGAGGCCGAGGCCGGGGCCGTGGGGGCAGAGGAAGGGGCATGTTGAATCACATGGTGGTGGATCATCGTCCCAAAGCACTGACAGTGGGAGGCTTCGTGGAAGAGGAGAAAGATGAATTGTTACAGCACTTCTCTGTAAGTACGAGGTCATGTTAAGTGGTGGCCAAACTGTAACTCTGAGATTACGTAGGGAACCAGTCCCCTGAACACGTGTTTACTTGCTAAGAGGGGTGTGATAAGAGCTCTGTAAGTAACTGGGGGGTTTCAGAATTCTTGAAGATGTGAGTCTTTCTGTTTCTGTTAGTGCAAACAAACCAATGACTTCAGCCTGAATTCATGGAACAGGCCGTGGATAAGCAAACGCTTTCAAGAGTTAACAAGGGTGTAAACATAATGTCATTTATAGCTGCGTTACAATAGCTGCCTGATGCATCCTTGTCATGGGAAAAGCTAAATAGCCTGTTCTTATTAATTCTGCATTACAATAGTTTAAAACAGATGCTAGAAGGCTGAAAAATACTTATCAGCCTCTGTCTGGTTACAAATTATTTTTCAGATTAGCAATTCATACCATTTATCTGTTTTCTCTCCAGCTCAAGAGGCAAGGCACTGTTTTGCTAAGCAGGGCAGCAATTCAAGGAAGCTAAATTCATTTAGGAACTCGTGGTGGAGCAAGCAGCTTGCTAGTTTGCAGCTAAGCTAACGGACCTGTTAGCATCATAACTAAGTTAATATAACAAAGGAAAATCTTTTGCAGATCAATGAGCTTGCTTGATGAGTTTAAAGTAGAAGAACAACCAAGGGCAGAAGAGAATAAGGGAAATAGTGAATTCAAAGAATTCATTTCTGAGCTATAAATTAATACACATATTTCCTTTCCTCCTGCAAAATTAAGCTCCACTTATTAGAATAACAGAAAAGAGGAGTTTTTGCCCAAAACTACAGGTACAAGTGCTGCAATATTGCTGAATGACACAGCTGAGATTTCTCTGGCTCTCACCTTTCTGTCCAAAAAGTAACATTTTAGTGGCACGTCAGTAGCACATGATGCTCATGGGTTTGGAGGAGAATATTACTACTGTTCCTAACCAATTTTTCTCTCACAGAAATTTGGAGATATTGAAGACCTTCAAGAAGAGGATTCCCCATTAAGTGTTGTTCTAACTTTTAAATCTCGCTCAGAAGCTGAGAATGTAAGTAGAATAATGCATTTTTTTTGCTTTGTTTTTAAAATAAGAATTTTTAACTTCTTGTGTGCACCTTTGTATTTTAAAGTAGAGCAGGCTTTGGTCGCTCTAGTTCGAGGCAGATGGTGTGGGTGTTTGTGGCTACAGCCTGGGGTGTCACTGAGAGGAAGATCCCTGGTCCCTCAGGGGTAAGATGGGCCTTTGCTGACAAAGGGTGTGTGTCCCACTCAGTGCAGGGCTCTGCATCCTCCCGCATCGCTGCTCGGTGAGCGCTGTTGGGCAGGTGTAGGGCTCAGTGACGTTGCTCTCGGAGGGGCTGACATGGGTGGTTGTGGGTCAGGAGACCTCCAGGTGTGCGTCTGCGCGGTGGGCACTGAGGCCAGGTCACTGGCTGTTGGAAACCTTCTCTGCTCAGTTCTCTCTTTGAAAACATGTTCATTTGGATGCAATCCAGGCTGCTAACCAGGGGTCCCGCTTCAAAGACCGAAGGCTACAGATCTCGTGGTACAAACCGAAGGTACCCTCTGTGTCCACAGAAATCGAGGAAGAGGAGTCGAAGGAAGAGGTATGAAAAAGTGTTAAAAACCTAATCGCTGCTTTAGGAATCTAACAGCTAAGAGCTCTTCTAGGATACAGTACTCTGTTTACTGGAGAAATTTCATAAAAGGTGGTTTTGCAAACTAGAAATTTAACTGGTTTTGAATAGTCAGGTACGTTTTCCATGTTTTTAGAAAAGGAAAAAGGGAAAAAACCACACTTTCGGGATGGGATGTTTGTCAGCTACAAAAGTAAACCTCATGTTCTCTGTCTGCAGCTGCTGCTCTTTTTACTCCACAGCATTAGTGCTCCACTGGAGGATAAGTTACAGATATTCTTTCCTGTAATTGTGAACACGTGAAGCTTTTAAAGGGTTTTCCCTCCAGGCATTTAGCAGGGTGCAGGACTGTTGTGTCGGGAGGGAGAGGGGGGGTGGTTATTCCTGCTCCCACAGAGGTTTGTCCATCCCTTCCTTTCCTGAGGGGTGAGGCTGCTGCTCCTTCCCCAAGCCCTGGGGAGTGTCACTGTGTGTGTGAGACATGGGGTAAACATGAAACTGACCTAAATTGGAACCAACGCTGTGTTGGGTGACATGTTTCTGAGGGTACAGCATGGAGTACTTTGTTTAAAAGTATGTTTTTTCTTCACCTTAGGAGACTGAAACCTCAGATTTATTTTTGCACGAAGATGATGATGATGATGACGAAGATGAGGATGAATCCCGTTCCTGGAGAAGATGAAACTTGATGTTGGAAATGTATAATTTTAGGAAAATAGTTCAAGCTACATCTTTTAAACATTTATTTAAGGAAGTTGATGAGCCAAAAAAGCTTTACTTTCTTTTCAAACCACAAGATTTCGAGTGAGCAGAGTTTGTTACCAGAACATTTCGGATGCAGAGCTGTGAGGCTGAAGGAGCCAAAGGCCCAGTAACATTTTCCAGAATTGTCAGCTCAGCAGGGTGGTGAATTTTTCTATTTAAGAAGGATAAAAAAAAGAGAGAGGGGGGAAAAATATTAGTATTTTCTTGTCCTCTTTTTGTGTCACCTGTATTACCTTGTTTTGGGTTTTTTATAATGTGATTGTTTTGTTAGTTTATAATTGAAAAGATATTACAGGTTTTATTTAGCAATATTATGGGGTTGGGGAAAGATGCAAACTTTCATTAAATGTTATGAAAGAAAAAATTGCCTCATTTGCTAATTGAAAAAAGGGTAGCATTTTATTTCATATGGAATCACTTCCTGTAGGAATTCTTTGTGGCCAGATCCAGGAGTGATTTATTTCAGTATGTTCGAAAGCCACACAGTTTCTCTGTTCTGCTCCTTTTTGTGAGAGGAGGTGGAGGAAGCAATTTAACAGGGTATTATTATAGTATTGTCCGTTCACTCTGTTTCTTCAGATTCTGCTTCACAGAAACATCAGCAATGGCGCATTTTTGAGTGAGTCTTCACTCGCTGTTGATTTTCATCTGTAGTTTCAGGCCAAGGTTCAAGTCAGACTGTTGTTTACTGCATTTCAGTATTTGTGGGCAGGAGTGTGATGAGTTGTGTACGGCCCCAAGGAGGGCACCTGGCCGGGTTACCCCCTGCTGGGGGGACTCCCCTCCTCTCCCGGTCCCGGCTGGGTGTTTCTGGGCAAACCACGTTGGTGAAGGGCCTGAGGGACTGGGGTGTGCTGCTCCGGGGACAGCAGTGCTTTGGGGGGCAGTGCTGGAGGGGCGTTCAGAGCGGGCCGGGGGGGCTATGAATTCAGCTGCAAGTAGAGTTTGGCTCAGACCCATTTAAGATTAACACTTTACATTCTCAGTCACCTGATGGCTGTACTGTTTTAAAACACCCCTCCATAGTGACACCCCAAAGCGGTGTGTACTCCGAGAGCGGGTCCCTGAGCCAAGGCTGTACCTGTCCCTGGCTCCTGCTGGCACCCACTGAGCGTCGGCCCGCGCTGTCCGTGTGCCCAGCACCTCTGGTACAGTGTTTGTACCTGCTGGACAAAACACACAAAGTCGGTGCAAAAATCCCCTCCTCTTTTGAATAATTAGCACATTGGTGTATTTGCCAGCAAGTTCCCAACTGAAGGAAATACCCTCCAGACCCTTTGGCTGGGGATGGTCTGAGCCCGGGGGTGACCCGCAGCCCAGCCTGTCTCGGGGTTCCTGTCCCCTGCCCTGGGTGGCCCTTGGCCGGGGACACTCTGACTCAAACCAGTCTCGTTTGCTGTTCCCTTCTCAGAGTTCTCTCTCCTCGCACTGAAACCTCACCCCTTTATCTGTAATTGGACTTTCTTGCTAATACTGAGGCTAAATTGCAGGCGTGAAGAAACGAGGGGAACTAATCCTCTGTACTTCAAAGAATGTCTTGCTTTTCTCCCGTCACCTCTAATGGATTTTTTTAATGTCTATGGCTCAGTCAGTGTATATTTTGAAAAATCCATTGCGACAAACATATAAAGTCGTGACAGTTTAAAAAAAGATAGAGGGAACAAAAGGATTTATATATTTTTTTGTACAGAGTTTTTTCTTAAACTGTATAATTTTGTAAATATTTTGCTTTTTTTGTGTACTAAAACTACCAGCGTATAGATTTCAATAAGAACTGTTGTATTTTTGTATTTGGAAAATGAAAATTACAGTGAGTGAAGCTGTAAGAAAAATTGCAGTAGCCTTTGACACGCGTAGAATGGGATTCCTTTTCATATGGTTTTAGCTGAAGGTGACAGCGGGCTGGGACCCCGTCTGCGGGGACACGCGCCCCGACACGCTGCGGCTGAACCGCTGGGGCGACAGAGGAGGGAGCTGGGTAGGGGGGAATTCAAGGATTTTTATTTTTTTTTTCTTTTTTTTTTGACAGTTTGCTTTGATTTGGGATTCTATCCCCTTAGAGCTGCCATAACCCCCAGGTGACATCCAAAGGGATTTGGGAGCGCTGTGCCCTTGCCCAGCCTCTGCCTCCAGGGCTCCCCACCGCCTTACGGGGGGTTGAGCGATGGGCCGGGGAGCGGTACCGGCTGGTTGAGGGGGAGGAAAACGGTTTGGAAGTGCCCTTTATTGGCCAAAGCTTCTGTTGCCCTGGATTTAGGGCATATTCGGCTGCATTAGACTGTTTGGGGGAGTTTGGTTTGGTTTTGTTGGTTGGTGTTAAAAGGTAATATAACAGTGCAGCTTGCTTTTGGTTTATGGCAACACTTTGTTGTGAAATTCAGGGGTATTTTCAGACCATACCTTAGGCAGGATTTATAACCAGCAGGGAACAGGGCAGAGCCAGGGGTGTTTATCTGGGGGTGTAACTAGAGGTACCAGCCTGAGCCTGGGGCAGAGACACGGAGGGGTGTGCGATAACAAAGTCCCTGATAGGAAGAATGACCTCCCCTTCCCTTCCTGAATTAACCTACACAGAAAGAACAAAACAAACTCCAGAGCTGAAAAGAGAAATCTGGGAAGAGTTGCCTGCTTATTGGGGAAACAACACTTTTTACTTTTAACAAGATCATGTGAAAAGGAATAAAGTTGCTCTTGGTGTATAGTAAACTTGTACTATAGTTTTTACAAATTGTGAACTTGTGTAATAGTATAATAGGAGATATTGTTGAATTTCTAACTGTTTATACATTTAAATTCATATATGTAATGTTTGTTTTATTGATTACAATCTGAATTTCTAAGATGCATGTTGACTTTTTTGCAATAAAGATATACTATGGAATGGTTCAAGATTTAGAAAAGACGAAGAAAATTCTAACTTAAATAAATTGGACAGCAGAACCATTCCAAAAAAATTACAATGATCACAAAAAGAGTGTTATCGCTTTCTTGGCGTGGGGGCATTTGTGCGAGAGGGGTGTTTGTGTGTAAGGTGTGTGCAGTGTTGTTCTGCTGAGCCCTCAGGTGTGTCCGTGCCCTGAAACAGCACTGCTGGGCACAGCTGAGCTGGGGGGAGATACAGGGGGGGTGGGAGGGATTCCAGTAAACGCTATTTCACATTTTGGGGAGGGTTCAAAGTTTAACAGAAAATGGAAAATGTTCTCTAGAGATTTTGCAGGTCTGGAGTATTGCTGGGTATTGGAAATAGTGGGTGCAAAACACGGGATTATAGACATGCAAATTCTAACCCCTTTGAATTTGGTCTGAAAACTCATTCATTCTGTTACGAACTTTGTTCTTTGTCTTTGCTTTTTACAGCAGTTCCTGTTACCCCCTTCTCTTTCCTCGGTTGCTTTCAGGAATGTGAATGGTGGGTTATGATCCAGGCTTTTTAAAAGCCTTTTTCCTGTGTGCTCCCTTCCCTTCCCTCACCTGCCTGGTCGGTGGGACCCTCATGCATGATGGGTTGGTGGGACCCTCATGCATGACGGGTTGGTGGGACCCACCTGCCCGGTCGGTGGGACCCTCATGCATAACAGGTTGGTGGGACCCTCATGCATGACGGGTTGGTGGGACCCCGCACTGACCAGGCCTTTTACCAGGGTGGGAATTTCTCTTTTTTCCTTTCCTGGACATTTTCTCCTCGTCGGAACTTTAGGCTCTTCCCGCTGCCCTGTGTGTCAGTGCTCCATGGCCACCAGGCCCTCTCCCCACCTCCTGCAGGACGCGGTGAAGCCCTCTGAAGAGCTGGAGCCCCGGCACTGCGTGGGGAACGTTTCACACTCACCTCAAATACTTCTTTCTTCCTACATGATCAAACTTAACGTTAACAGTGAAAGGGAGTGCAAAGAAGAAAGGGCACTAGCATCTCTCTCTCTCTGTGTGGCTTTGGATCATTTCTTCCCCAGCTCCCCGTGTCGTCCCAGCACATCCAGCGGGGTTCGGCCGCTCCCCAGGGACCGGGGTCTCCCCAAAGGGCGCTTGAGGAGCAGCTCCTGTCACTGGGCACACAAGGGACACCCAGGGAATGGCTGGCACGGGTCAGACCGAGTCTCTTCAGCAGGTGCAGCCGTGGGGTGTGAAGAGCGACGGTCCCTGCAGAGGTCTCAGAGAGGAATCGGGACTGTAACCTGTCTCTGGGACCCAACTCCATCCCAACCAGCCCGAGGCAGGGGCTGGGGGCTGATCCAGGGACCCACCGAGGAGGTGGTGGACACCTGCGTCCATCTGGAAACAGCAGACTCCGGCGGAGGTTCCCCGGGTGCCCGTGTGCCTCTCCCTGCTCCTCTCTGACACATCCTGGTGATGGAAACGTGAGTGGATTAACTAGAGTTTTTTTCTCTCTCTCCCCCCCAGGTCCCAGGGTCGTTCCACAATTTCCAGTTGCTGCTGGTCTGTGTCCAGGTGAGTGGATCCGTGGGGAGCTGGGGGTTGGAGCGAGGCGTGGGGCAGCAGGGGGGCACGGGCTGGCGTGCGACAGCCCCGTGGGGAGACGTGCCGGGTCACGGGCACCCCGGGAGGTGCTGTGGTGTCTTTCTCCAGTGGTGCCCAGGGACTGGACAAGAGGAAACGAGCACAAACCTGAACATAAGAAGTTCCATCTAAACATGAGGAGGAACTTCTTTCCTGTGAGGGTGGCAGAGCCCTGGCAGAGGCTCCCCAGGGAGGTGGTGGGGTCTCCTTCTCTGGAGACATTCAAACCCCACCTGGACACGTTCCTGTGGGACCTGCTCTGGGTGGACCTGCTGTGGCAGGGGGTTGGAGGGGATGATCTCCAGAGGTCCCTTCCAACCCCATCTCATTCTGTGATTGTGTGTGGGGATGGGGCAGGTAACAGGGACAGTGTCTGGTCTGGGAGGGCAAAACAAGCCTTTAAAGGGCACCCGAAGTGCATAGGGAGGGCCTTCTGTCCTTTTTAGGAGCTAAATGTAAGAACTGGTGAAAAGTGTGGGCTGGAGAAAGGGATCCAGCATTGGTGGGGCTGGCTGCCCTGCAGAGGGCAGGAGGATGCAGGGAGCCCTCCCCAGATGGGCTCTGGGGAACCCGCCTGGATCCAACTCCTCTCGGGCTTTCTCGCCGTGTTTAATTGAGACAGGTTTCATTGAGAGGTAAAAGCATCAGACCCAAATAGTTTTCTAAACCCTTCTAGTTATTTGAAACCTGCAGCTTATTGTCCCCGTGGCAGCGCGGTGTCCGCCCGTCCCACAGCCCCTGTGCCATGGTGTTCAGCAGCACCAGCACTGCCCCAGGGAGGGGGGACAGGGGGGTCCCTTGGGGACGGTGTGAGTGCAGGGACATAGGATTTCCTCCCCCTTGTCCTGTGTCAGCCCAGCGAGACCCGGGGGCAGGATGGCTTCCACCAGGGGTGCTCCCCTTTGCCCCCTTCTGCCCGCAGAAGGTTTTCAGGTTTGAACTTAAAAAAAAAAACAAAACATTTTATCGGGTCAATAGACCCCGGTCCAAACAGAGGCTGTGAGAGAGTTGGTGTCACTGCTCTGGGTGCATCTGGCCGCAGTGGGGGCCAGGGGCAGAGGCTGGAGGGGAAAACGCTGGCAGAGGGAGATGGCAGTGGCCACAACCCCCCGGCAGCGATGGCCATGACCCCCTGCCATCCCAAGCTGGTCCAGGGGCTGGTCCATGGCCCATCAGCCCAGGCCATGGTTCACCAGGAGAGGTTGAGCCATCAGCCCCAGAGCAGCTCTCGCAGCCGGAGGGGTCAGCCTGCCGTGACCCCAGACACTCAGAGGGACAGACATGTGTCCCAGACCCCGGGAGAAGCCCTGCCAGCAGCAGAGAGGCACCAGCCCAGCCCCAGCATCACCCCCAGCTTAGGGGTTCAGCTGCTGGGGTGGCGTTCATCTTATTTTTTAGGAGCCAAACCCCTTTTGCATTTTTGCTGTGCGTGGAGGTGTCGGGGTGGCAGTGCCCAGGGACTGCACCCGGTGACGTCTCTGAGTTAATTATAGCCTGCTCTGCCCATCTTACACCAACAACCTTAAAGCACTTCTGCTCTGTCATTTATTTAAATGCTAATAAATTATACATTTCTGGCACTTTAGTAATTCATGTGAAAATTATTTGGAGTCAACTCAAGATAACGTACCTCTGTGTGCTCTCTGGTGGCTGAAGAGATGTCAGACAAGGATTCCAGCCACTCTTCCTTTTCCCTTTTTAACATGACTTTGGGTTATCTGTGGGTCAGAGAAGGGTGAGGAAGACTTCTCCAACAGGCACAATTCCAGCTGCTGATGTCTTGTTGTCCCTCTTGAAAGAAGGAGTTAAGTCTAAATCAGGATGAAAGCATTTGTGACTGTAAACACACCTGGAGCCCACAGGGAGGTGTTTTTGGGCTGTGCTGAAGGTGTGTGGCAATCGGTGTGAGAGGGACAAAAGGGATGAAACTTGTTAATTTAATATGAAGTGTGTTAATGGCTGCAGTTTGCCTGTGGTGGAAGGGGTGGATTCATACAGACTGACACTGCCCCGGCTGTAACCACCCCTGGGCAGCTTGGGTTTGTGTGGGTGACAGGACCCTCCAACGGGGTCCCAGCCGGGAGCCGAGTGGGGTGTTCCCTTGGGAATGCTCCCCTGGGCTTTCCCCAACGCTCTTAAAGCAGAAACCCTCTGCTGCTTCGGGAGTATTTCTTGCCTGCAGGGCTTTCTGACCAGGCGTTTGGGTCTAGGCATAAAGCAGGTTGGGAAGCTGGAATTTTCTTCTCCTGATCCCAGCAGAGCATCTTGCTGTGCCTGGTAGGTGGGAAGCCGTGCAAGGAGAGAGAGGTGTCATACCGGAGCCCGGCGGGGCGGCTGTCACACGGTGTCACCCGTACAGCCAGCGAGTGGCTGCCGCGGCGAAGGGACGGTGCTGCTCAGCCCCGTGTCTGCGGCCGTGGAACAGCCCAGGAGCAGTGGGAACTGCAGCCCAGCACCTCTGTGTGCTCCCGTGGCCACACCACCAGCCACACTGCCCCTGGCCGGTGACCGTGGGGTCCATGGCCGTGCTGCTGCCTGCACAGAGCCCTGGCCAGTGACGGGGTGCTTGCCCGGGGCTGGGACGCAGCGGCCGGTGTCGCTTGTTAAACCCCAAGAAACGTGACCGTGGAAGGGATGAGTTTAACGTCAGGTGATGGGGCTTCTCCCCACACACCCTCTGATTGTTACATTTTAATTTCAAATTCAAATGAAGATTTCAGGGAACATTAATGTAATGGGAATGTGAAGCAGCGCTCGGCCCGGGGGGGCTGTGGACACTCCTGGAACCAACCCCGAGTAATGAAGATTTCAGGGAACATTAATGTAACGGGAATGTGAAGGCAGCACAAACCTGAACGATTTTACAGGCACCCACCAGCTTCCTGGGTTGCTCCCGGCAGCACTCGGCCCAGGGCGGCTGTGGACACTCCTGGAACCAACCCCGAGCTCTCGGAGCGGGGTCCCAGGGTCCTCATCAAACACAAACAAATTCAAACTTAACCCCAAGGCAGATGTGATGGAGAATCATTTGTTAGAGCACCTGGAGCCGAAAAGCTCTGGGTTTGGTTATTAAACTGGGACTCAGCCCGTGCAGGTGCCCACAGAGGGAAGGGCTTTTTCTGTTGTGAGGCAGCTCCAGGATTAAAGCAGCTTGAGCTTCCTCTTGGACTAGCTTTAGGATGCAGCAGCTCTAATGGAACTTTGAAATTTGGATGTGTAGAGGAGAGATTTTGTACTATGGCCAAGTCTGAAAATCCCTTCAATTCAGAATTTTTTTGGATTTTTTTTTTCACTTTGAATGCAGGAAAAATACAAGTACTTGCTCTTCCTGGCCTATAGGCGATGACCAAAACGTGGTGAATGTGAGCCCAAGGGCTGTGTGGGGAGGCTGAGCTGTTTGCTCTGGCACCAATTCAGATTTTTTTTTGGATTTTTTTTTTTCCACTTTGAATGCAGGAAA